AATCCACGCCCTTTGGCATACATTGCTTCAGCTGCACCCTGTGACCTCGCATTGTTGCTAAGAAACAAAATAATTCCCCTTAGTATGCCCCTAAAATCGCCCCTAAATGCGAACATCTACTTTCTTGGGCAAAAAAAAATGGCCTTGGGGTGTCCAAAATATTTGATCACTAATAATTACAATCAAGAATCAACTGTCTAGGGTTCGATTCACACAGCCAGAAAAATCTGGCCATGCATTTCCTGAGCAATGGGATGGCAACCTACTGCTGGTCTGGCAGGACAGTTGCTGGGACCCCACACAAAACAAACTCCGGTTTGCAGGTTTCAAGCGGGTATGGCCAACCCCAGATTGGGTCAAGATTCAAAGAGTAACATACCAAAGTCAAACGACCTTCGTCGTATTCAGCAGGATATCCTCTAGCAGCTAGGGGCATAGTTTCTGCCAGCCAAGCGCAAATCACCCGGCCGTTCCAAGCCTTCGCATTGAGTGAAATCTCGCCAGTGTAAATTTTCACCTTTGATGGGCAAAAAAATGTTGGCCAGCTAGTCTTTGCAGTGGTATTGCAACCTACTTGATATAATATGATGAATATATGATGTACTGTACATGTCATTAAAACAAAATGTTTTTTTAAACACAATGTCAAATTTAAAGGGTCGCATGGGGTTGCTAATATATCCAAAACCAAGGTGGTTCAGTATAACCAGGCCTGGCAGGTATATAAACAATAAATTTAAACCGAGTGGCTTTTGACTCTTTGAAAGGCGGCTGAGACTGGTCCAGCTTGCGTGCCCGGCAAAAAGCAACAAAATCTTGGTAGGCTTTGTCCAATTGTTGTTGGAACGATCCAGGTCCCCAGTATTCCAACTCTTCACAAAGCATTGTCCTGATCTATGTTTGCAAATGAATCTCAAAATAAGGGGCATGTTGAATTACCAAATCGGTTCCATTGCATCCTTACAAGAAAATATCCATGAATCCCTTTGATATATCCCCTTTTCTTGGCAGGACATGCACGCACTATAGTGACTTCAATTGAGGCGATGAGACACCACGAAAAACCTTATTTTTTGGTGTAACATCGTCTTAATTGAAGTCACATGGTGCTGGTAGTCTTCGTGGCAATGCAACAAGACCTGCCACTGTACCTGGGCAGAAACAACTTGGGTTCAGCTAAGGGTCAGGGCCCCTCCGTTCAAACTCATCAGCAAGCCTAAATTCAGAACATGCATCACGCAAAATTTGATGCACGAGACGTCGAACTTCTGCAATCGAAGCAAAGGACCTCACATAGCCAGGGACCCCTATGACAGGTTTGGGATTTTTTGAGAGGACCAAACAAATTCACTTGTGTTGATGGCTGCACATCCCATACTTTGTTCTCATGGTAATAATGGTGGAGTAGTCCCAAAAGTGGTTTGGGCTTTGGTGGTTGGGCGGTTTACCCATGGTGCCCCCCCAAAAAAAGACAACACTAATAAGAATAGTAAGACCGAGGGTCATATATTGTTTGCAGGAAGCCTTTTGGCAAGGTAGTCTGTGGTATTAAACTCTTGTCTTGCCCATGAACTGTTTTCATCATCCATATTCCAATAAAGTAAGTCGGCATCATCACACCGGCCCATAGCCGGACAACGATAGCAAATTCCCACATTGACACCACCTTTCCAGGAGCATTTGAATTGCCAAATCAACTTATGGAATTCCCAATCTCCACGAAGTTCGACAACTTGGAATAGATGTCTTCTGTGGGTCAACCATTGGCCAGCAAGTTTCCTCTCATGAGCCTCCAGTGGTCTGTTTCCTGGTCGGGCAACAGGATATATTCCCTCATACAGGGCATTGAAGGACCAAACCAGCCACCGCAATATGGTATTTGCCGTCCGATTTTTGTAAAGCAGTGAGGTGTCACAAGACCATAAGAGGAACCTTGAATACCGTATCGATTTCGGTCGAAAAATAACGATGTTGCAGAAGAAGCATATCAATTTCTCGATGCGAACCTTTGTGATCAGTTGAGCTGCATCTCCATAGAAGCCCAACGGTATACGGTTTCTCGAATCATGACTGGCATATGTCTCTCCATCAGCTATTGCATTGTCCCAGAATTGTTGAATGGCTGCCTCTGGGATATCAAGACCACACTCGTTGAATAGGTATCCAATGATGCGGTGGGGAAACAATATAGGCTGCTTCTCAATCCTGTAGCCATGCGGCACTTTTTCGTCAGAAACTGGGACCCATATGTATTCAAGTTCCTTGCTTCGACATCATACTGCCATGGGCCATGGCAAAAGAATGTACAGCATATTATATATTTTTTGGAAATTAAATAATAAATCCATAATTGGGGACAAACAAGAAAGTATATTTCACTCAATGCCTAACCAAGACACTACAGGTATTTTATGAGCTCTCCACCAGTCTCGTGTTTCATTTCCAGGGCACAATCTCCCAAGCTTCGCAGTTTCAGCATGAACATTTTCCGGTCCACTCTCCTGAAGAAAGGGCCACCATTATGAAGAGACCAAGGCCTCATACCCCTTTATGAAGTCATACATATCTATTTTGTGGGCCATTGTATGTTCTTGATCCATCAAAATTATGCAACAAGCAGCAAGTATAAGTAGACATGTATATAATATATCTAATTAAAATAGAGATCTAGATGTTATTATATATATATCCAGCTGGCATGATCTTGTGGATGTAGTTGGCACCAGGGGCTGGCTTGCATGCAAGGCACCTCCAAATGAGACCGAATTCTTTTCATCGACCGGTACACGCTGCTTGCTTCAGAGCCGGTTTTGTTCATGGGGTGGGCCGGTGGACAGAGGTTAAAAATATGGGGGCACTAGTTGTTTAATAATTGTTGGCCCAAACATCTTGTCCTCAACAATTAGAACATACATAATATACAGATGATAAATTTTGGTCTTTGGGTTGATTGTCTCACCATTTTCAACATTGGGAAGTGTTGCACAAGCTATGCTTACCTTTGCAATGGTGAAAAACAAAAGACAGTCCACCCCACTGATGTTAGTATCAGCACGTAAACCACCAGCCAAGACACTCCTGAACTCACATCTTCAATTGCATTCTGGATCACCAAGTTGTTACCCGAATGGGATGACACGTTTCCTGCGTGGGAGGGGTGAATAGCTAGCATAGAGATACTGAATCCCAAGCGCTCCCATGCAACGAATGTTGCAAGGGTTGCTGATGGCTTGTCAAAAAAATGTTGAATGCACACCAAAATCACCAAAGCATAGCAGCTTATCAAGTGCACTGAGTTTTCCCTCTTACCTTTCGGTGCTCTCTGTGTCAACCAGAGGCAGCTGGAATCCATGGCAATTAGCCAAAACGCACATGTCCCTTCAGGGGTCGACTCGGTGATGTTCAAAATTCAGCAGGACGTTTTGCAGGACACCCCATCTATGGCCAACAAATAATGAAGATTGATTGGCATTTTGGGATGGTTTCTATTGAAAACGTTTCACACTAGTTTGTATTGGGTGCCCCATCGAACCCCTGCGCTTCCCAAGCCCTTGGCTCAACACCATCCCCGGCACCCTAAGATAACACACAGTCTTCGCCAGTGTTACCACAACCAGGTTCTAAGGTATTTATCGCCAAAATTAGGCAACATCACAGCCGAACTACTTCATGTTACTTTGGACCAAAAAGTCACTGAAATTCTTCACTGCTTCTTCGCCATCAGTCTGAGGCTGGGCAAGATCTGCGACATCGCCACCACCCTGACAAGCTGGTTCAGTCGACAAAAACCAAGGCCCACAGAGAGATCGGTCGATACTGCCATAATTGCCTTGAATTCGATAATTACTCTTTAATCCTAGGCACTCAGCTTCTCTTTACGATTTGATTTTATCAATACTACTTACTTACTGTAGATGCTCGTCCACTAGCGCACTAGCAGCTGCAACAAACATACCATAAATTTGCCATGAAATATACCATCTAAACATTGTACAGCAGCATCGATGGTACAAAGAATCCATGGATCTATTCTTTTACAACTGGCCAGTGTACCAACCCTGCCTTTGCGGCATCAACCACTTTCTGCAATTGGTCACGTCGTTTCCCCAGCATTTTCTTGTGGGGATTCAGCTCTTGCAGGAAGACATTCTTCAGGGCGGGCGACCTGAGCCGTTTGGAAGCTCAAAACTTTTGAGGAAATGCTGCAGTGTGAAAATGGGTTACTTCAGAGAAATTGAAACCAGGGTTCATTGGCTGGACACATGATCATGAAAAATATCGATTATATCATGATATCGATAATAGATTTTATGCTATGTTGTTTTCAACCAGCAATGTTGATAGTAATGATATAATTGTTGCAACGAACATCCTACCTCAAATGGGAATTTACAGGAGAAATAATAATCTTTGAATATGAGCTGGACCAACCATGGGGTCTACTATAAGCCAAACGAGTACCAAAAAAAATGAATAGCTCAAAAGTTGTATTGTAAAATTGACATCCAAATGATAAAGGCTTTTAATTAAAACAAAAACATACCAGTATGTGGATTTACTGATTTGCAAGTCCTTTGGCCCCCATGCCATGTCAACCTGTTTGAAAACGAGTAATTGCCACGGACCTGAGGCCGTGACATGCTGTCTGCTTTGGTCTGGACCAAGGCAGCCTTTCCAAGGGCAGTGGTGAGCTTGCCCACAACCTGGCACAAAGTATAGCAGAGTGTTTTTTCAAACACATAATATTATATAATTATTATATGTTATTTAGCTATACTATATATTAAATAATATATTATATAATATACATATACTAATTATTAGTAGTAATGTTGGCACACCCAAAAAAATACATTGGCTTGGTAGGTATCTCTTAGATGTGGACATTGTTGATGATTCTGAGATGTTGTATTTTTTGAGGTGTGTATGTATCGTGAAGATTGGTAGGACAGTCCCCCCAAATTTGCCTTGTTCGCGTCACTGATGATTTTCTTTTTCACTTCCTTCGCCTTTGCCTCTTGCTCCTTCTGTTCACGCTTCGCTTTCTGCTCAGGCGTTTCCTTTTTCTCCTTGTCGTCCTTGGCCTTCTTCGTATTTTTCTTTTTGTCCGAGTCCGAGCCCTCTGACGACGAACTCTTTCTCTTCTTCAACTCCTTCTTGCCCTTCTTTCCCTTCTTTTTTTTCTTCTTTTCCTAACTGCATCGCATGAATTCATGCACACTCTGGCACATGCTAACGAGATGGGGATGGTTGACGATGAAGCACAGCCAATGTAGCAAGCAATACTAGTTGGTCTACGTAGTGTAAGATGGAGAGTTACTTGGAATTGGCCAGTTGCCACCTACATATGGAAACATAATTTTAATCCATGGATCCGACGTCGAAGAGCTATCATCAGATTCCTCCGAGGAGTCCGAACTTGTTGACTTCTTCTTCTTCTTCTTCTTTGACGACTTCTTTTTCTTTTTGTCTGACTTGCCTGCCGATCCTCCCTGGTCCTTGTCAATGGCTTCGAAAAAGTCATTGGTGACATGGTCAGTGACGTCCTCCTCGGCATCGACATCCCATACGAGGTATTGGTAAAGTTCCTGAGCATGAGCTGAGTACACAGACCAAAGGAATTGTTGTGTCCTGGGTAATTGGTAATTGATAAATATCTGATACACGAACCAATTTTCAACATTTTTCCGACCTAGGTATCCAGTTCATGCACTGTAAACAGCTAGCTGTTGCAGTGAGAAACTTCTGGTGCTCTATAGGTGGGTAGGTTGTGAAGGCCTTAAAAGAACTGGATTCAGACTAGAGTCTGGGTCGCCTGGGCAGTCTGGGTGGTCCCTTATTTGGTGCTGGCATTTTGGGTCGTTTCTTTTGGCCTGAGCTATGCGCGCGGCCACTCTGGCACTGCCATATTTGACGCATAGTTCAGGCTCTGTCAACCACTTCCTGGCTCCAGTCTTCCGGTTGCGAACCGTCACCCTCAGCTGCTTGTACAAGCTCGACTCAGTCCAGTGGCCCTCGCAAGAGATCCACTGCTCATACAAGACTTGGAGCTTCTCCGAGCCTAAGTCTTGGTTCATAAGTGGGATGAACCCCCATTTTTAAATCACTTTGCCTTAATTCGCTAATCTACCACAGACTCTAGTCTGAATCCATTCCTTTTGAGGTCTTCTTGTAGAGCACCAGAAGTTTCTCACTGCAACAGCTGTTTATATTGTACATAGCCGATATGCTGGCCACTCACTATGATCCCCTTTAGGGGGTATATTTAATATATAGCTATAGGGTATGTATATCTATGCAATCAAGGGCCTCCACTGAACAGGCCTGTATCGAACAATCAGAGCCAAGCAGCATCGCTTTGCATTCGCATGCGCGAGCTTCAGCTCCTTTGGGCAACCTCAGTTGATATATACATCATATGATAAACATGCATGCATATATCTTGTGATATAAGGAATGGGGTGGGGGAGAATGTAGACTGAAAATCAATATATGCCTCCTTCCAGATTCCAGAGCCATAAGAATGTTGACGATCATTTCGCATGTGTGCCCGACGAGAAACTGAACATGTTTGATTGACACGTCTTGGCATATTACTTTTAACCAACGCATCAAATATCGATTGGTATAAGTGCTGACATGTAACGCCTTGACTTGAATGATCGACTGAACCTCATGTACCTGGCTCGTGCAGCCTTTTGGGCACGCACTTGCTCGAGCGTCAGCTCAGTGTCATTCTCGTCAGGACCTTCAGCAGCAGCTGCACTTGCTGAGCCCTCATCATCAGACGATGAGGCCGACTTGGATCTGGCATGGGCTGTGGTGCGGGTCTTTTTGGACGACCCAAGATCAGCAGTAGTCCCCCTAGCCAAAGCCTGCTGAACAGCCAAGGCAGTCTCTCCTGAAGGGGTCTCAACTTTGGGGCTCTGAGCACTCTGAGCGCTAGACTTAGCCTTGGGCGTTGGGCGGGCACTAGTCTTAGGCTTAACCGGTGATCCTTTGCTCTTGTTCTGCTTCTTCTTGGCCTGAGCTTTCACAGCAGTCAACTTTGACTGCTTGGATGCTGCAGGTCTCTCAGGCATCTCTTCCCCAGGTTCCTCATTAGCAGGTTCCTCAGGTTCCACGTGTTCCTCAAGTTCCTCAGGTTCTTCAGGTTGTTTTCCATCAGGGCTGTAGTGGACCGTGGGGGACCGTGGGCGTCGGGTCTTCGTATCCTCATCCTTCACACAGCGTGGCTGTTTCGGGGCTGATTCACCTTGGGTCTCAGTGTTGACACGTCTAGTCTTGGCAGTAGGGGTCTTGATTGCTGGAGATACCTCAGAGTCTCCACCTCCACTGGGTCTTTTGCTTCTTTTCACTGCCCTGGAACTGGCCGGGACCGTAGAAGCAGTACTGGTAGCACTGGCTCCTGCGCAATAATCTTGAAGACCAATTCCAGAGGTATATTTACCCAGGAATATAAGAAAAGAAGGCCCTGCGCATCAACTAGCCATATTATGGATCATTTGATACGCATATAATATAACAATAAAATCTGATTTGATCAATGGATCGGTCACTGTCCTGATAATTCATGTGTTGATCAGACCTGGAGAACAAAAGAGATACCAGGCTAATAATAAAAGGTTTGTGAACAAATAGATCCGGTGTATGAACCATAAGATCAGATAGATTCTAATCGTTGAACATCTCAAATTTTGGGAGGACAGGAATCTTAACTTTAACCAAACTTTGAAGAGCGTTCCAGAATATTGCAAGACACTTTTTGCAGAGTGTTGGACAATGATTCACAACAATTTCATTTCTACAATCTCAGCTGTACCACCCCCCTGAAGAAGCACCTCGGGCAAGCTTTGCCTCCTGAACACGACCTTCCAGAGCTGCAGTTGTTGCAGGATTGGACAGAGCTGTCCTGGCACGGTGCTGGATACATGCCCGACTCGTCAAACATAGTACACACCATCTTACCTCGATGACATAGTTCCTAATTATATATAAATCCCTCAGATCAGAAAATATAGGCATTTCTATGTATAAACTCTGCATGGATGTGCATATGTTGCACCAGCTTTGAAAAATACCTACTCGATACCGTGGTGGCGTGTGCCCTGCCTTGACGCTTCCTTTGCATTCTCCAAGGCTTCACTCAACTTCTTGTTGGGGTAGTTCGGGGTATCATCCTCTCCTCCTAAACCTGCATCAGCCTCAGCCCTACGAGCTGCCCTTTGGGCCGCCTTGGCCAGTGCCTTTTGCACAGTTTCACAAACCATTGGGCAACTGTGATCCGCAGTGGCTTAGAACGGTGGTGCTTTCTTTTCTTTTACGATTTATTCATGGTCAAGCTACAAAACAGGAAAAACATCAAAAATATCCATTTTTTTGGGAAACCGTGGTTCACGCTAAAAAACGGTGGTTCACGCACCAATCACGCTAAATCACGCGCCAATCACGCACCAATCAGACCCCCCTGCGATCATCCTAGCTAGCATGTAAGCGACCAATGTGACATCCGACAGGCAACATTGCTATGTGGAGTGACAGTCGTGGCCCTGGATTTTCTAGACGCAGATTCTGAATTTCTTTTTTTGCAGCAAAACCAACTTTGATAGGGATTGGGACATCCAAGAAAGGAACAACCGACTGCGATTTAGTTATGGGATGTTATGGAGACATCTTCCAATTTGAGATGTTTTATCTGGCTTTGGATGTCTTTTCCAAAAGCTGGTGTTGCAAATGCTGCCATTTAGAGACACGTCAAGTCGAGGACGTTGAATTATCAAATTAGATTGGGGATCCTTCATGATCAAATTTCACAGATCAAGTCCCCCTTGAAATCGAGGGTGAAACCTGTTGGCCCTCACCTCTGACTCCAAAAAAGCTTTGACATCACCAAGGGATGCATGGCGCCAATTGTACGGGGCCTCCATGCACAGTGGCCCGGCCAGCATCAACAGCAAATCAATGGCACAGTATGTTTTTTTTTCAGAGTTTTGCTGATATATATTTGAAACTGGAATTTGCCCTCCCCCAAATCCTCCACCCGGCCTTGTGGACTTTGCCATGTTCAAGGTCCAGGGCGTGGAGTGCTGAATGGAGATCATCTTCATGATACTCTACACCGGCCTGTTCTGTGGCCCAGTGCTCGCCAGGAAAGAAAGGGTGTGTCTGACATGACTATCTCAATGAATAATGATTATTGGCAACGTTTGGTATGTCTAGTATCTGAGATCATGACAAATATGAAGTTCTTGTGGTGTTTTGCCATTGCAAGTCCATACTTGCTTGGGTACACTTGTGACTTCTTCAATCCGGCTGCGCCAGTCCTAGGCTTGTAGAAGATGATCAGTATATAATGCATGTGTAAAGCATCAAAAACAATCATTCGAAATGAAAGGAACCGACTTCATCTTTCACAATACTCGATTGATGCAATGCTGAGGTAATGGCACTTGCTTTTTGCCACTAGATTTGGAAATGGTAACCTTTACCATCGGTGTCTTTGATTGCCCCTTCTTGGCTTTCAGCTTCGCCCGCAAGCGTTTTGAGGTCTTCTTCACCATCTGTCCAGTACAGGGCCTTACCAGGACCATGGTGAGGTGGGGGTGAGTACTCTAGGGATCAATATAATTTATTTGGTGGTTGTGGAATTTCATATCCTCCACATGGTGGGTCCATTGTACCATGTTGCAAGGTTAACCAGTTGACAGAGACATTTGTCATATAAACATATATCATTATTTTTCCACTTGCTGAACTGCCATCATGACTGACTGATGTTTTCACTGCAGTGGAGCATCAAGTTTCGAATCTTACTGATTAGCCATCATGATAATCAATGGATCTCAGGCCCCAACCAAGTCCCAAATAACTTTGTTGGCTTCAATGTAGGCGATCCATAAACCGCCATGTTACTCAGCCCAGATTGCAGAGATATGTTTGAAAATATTGAGAAAATCAGGCAATTCTGTTTGTAAGCGCAATGGCTGAACCTAACCAAATGAGCCCCTGGCAATCTGACCAGCTGCCAAGGGATAAACTTCGAAATCAGTTTCTGAAAGAAGACGATGTATGGGAATACAGTCATTAGACTGCTTTGAGGCTGCTCTGCCACTATGTAGCAGTATCTCACTGTCGCAATGAACCATAGCATGACCATTCGAGTAGTGATCCTTAGATCATGCATGTACATGATGAATTTTCATGTGAATAAGTGTCAAACCCTACACTACTATTACTAATTAAGCTACACCAAACATGTGATATCAATTTCAATCAACGAGAACCATGTTCAATTTCCAAGATTCACGTTTGCTACACGAACATATTCCCGAAGAGATGCCCATCCGAATGGACGAAATGCTCGTCTACCAGATGTGTGCATATTGACAAATACAAAACTCCCACATGGGGGTCCGCAACTTTGAAGACCTCGCTCCTGTAACTTCAAAGTTAACAGGATGCTCCGCAGAAAGCCTTGCCTGGGACCAGGTTGGACTAGCTGGGGCTAGCAAGGCCATATGGGACTTAAAAAGCTCAACTCCTTAAATTTCAGGCGCCAACACTGAAGTTATATCTCCAGCATCTCCCTGAAATTCTTTATCGAAGCAGGACCTCGGAAAGCTTTTTGGGCTATTCCTAAATAGTGTGCGAAGGGACCCTCAAACAATGTTCAGGTATGATTTTCTAATATATATAAATAAATAGATATATTGATCGATATGTTATTTATTTTTGCATTCCAGATCATCCAAAATTGGACTCTGAGGTTAGAACGCCTTCATTCGTTCTTTGCCTAAGCACCATAAAGACCATTCCTTTAAAACCATCAATATATTGTAAAAGCATGCGCATAAATAAACACACTTCAATCAAGAGCATTACACCCATAAGGTTTGCACCAAATCCCTTGGAAACGGACTGCTTCCCCGAAAACAAGTCCATGACTTCAGTGTCCTGGGCAATAGAAAAGGAAATAACCTGGCCGTTTTCACATATTGCGACTTTTGACATAATATAATAATATTTATAACAATAATAATAATATCTTGATTATTATATAACCGAGTTTTCAATACTCTGAGGTTCAAACACGCTGGTCCATATACGTCCCCTCCACTTGTTCACACACATAGTCGCAACACATTCTAGAGGTCACCGGACCCAACCAAATTGTAAATGCACCCAATTCAGACACAACGAGGAACAGTTGTATCCTATATGATATCTTAAAAGTATGCAAATTGTGGTGCAAAAAAGTAGCAGGAGTACCGGCAAACCAAAAAATTAAAGGACTTGTGCAGCCCTTCTGGACAAGGAAATTGTGGCCACCATATTTGGTACTGCTTGGTTGATCGATGTCCAAACAGCTGCACGAAAAAAAGGACAATGATGTCTAGATTTGTCTGTTCGATTCTACTAGAATGAGTTTCCAGTGCATCTATGCAATGTTCAAATGCGTGCCATGCATGCAGTGATCATACCAGCAACCTTTTCCACATCCCAATTGCCAACAGAGATCCTGCCTCCAATGGCAGGACAGGCTCTTAGCCACACCCCATCCATGCGCTGAGGAGCACACGGGGTGTCAGATCCCCCGGAGTGGTCATATGGAGTGGTGGTGCCACTAGCATCCCCAAACATCCACAGGAAAATAAATGAAATCTAATTAATGGATTTATATGGAAGCAGAACAATTTATATGTTACACATATTAAGTTCAATTCTAGAAGATGATAATTGAACATGTTGCATACATACCACGACTATATATGTCATATTTTTCAAGGGGTCAGAGGCACCACAGCCACATATGTAAAAACTGCTCTACTGCCACCCAGCCCAAGCTCAGTCCACATCGCTAGGCACCGTAAGTTTTGTGCCAGCCCGCGATGAGCTTGGCATATTCCCAACTTGGTCCAGGTTTTGAATTCACCAGAAAAATCTGTCATAAACAAATCACGTACCATTGGTCGACATTTTACATATGATTGAGTTTCGAACGCTTTTGCCACACCTCCATGTTTGGTCCAGCCAATGGACATGCCATGCTGATTGTTCGCCTAAGATGCAAATGTTTGTTTCAATTTTGATGATGGTTTGAATAGGCATCTACTGTTTCTTAATACACGATATTTACAACTTGATTTGACCCCAAGTCACATGGAAAGTAGTGTTGGAATGCTTGTTCACCAGGTCCAACCTCTTGAGGTTGACAGGGCAGACATAGAAGCTCCGGCGATCGAACCTCCAGCAATGGGACAATCAAGACTAGTTTGATCAATCAAGATATCAAGCATATTCTGGTAAAAAGATTTGAGGAGCTTTGCTGGACAAAAATTGGTCACCAGTTTTTACAATAAATAGATCGATCGATATATTGTATATACTTATCGACAGACCGCGAGATACTTGAAGCTTGGGCGCCCAAAAACTCAGTGAATAATCCTTTGATTCCCCATCAAATAGGCATTTGAAGGCACCCCAGTTTTAGATACATTCATTGGTTCAGTGCCGATATCCATACCCAAGGGCCCCACGCTGGTGCAATCGACGGTAACTTCCCATCTTCATTGATGGCCGAATCTTCCAAGGTATCTGGGGCCCGGAAGCTGTAGGACCTAGGCGGTCAGGACAGCGTAGGCTAGGGGCATATGAATGTTGATAACCATACAGTAGTAGTTACAACAAATTATCATGATTAACGGTTGGCATCATTTGAAATCCTGCACCGGCTATATAGCCTGTTCATGTTGTTCTTAGGATCAAAACCCTTTATCCCCCACAATAATCGAACCCAAACGTCTAGTAGTTGAAATCGTATAGAATAGAATTTCTTTTTTGGGAAATGTTCTTTCACCAAACATCAGGGTTAATTTTGCAAGTGGTTCACCTCCCCCACCGGTAGCTAAGCCCCATGGCTTCTGGTCGTTGGTCAGCAATAACAACAAGACTTTGCACTGCCCGTCAACGGCCAGGACGTCTTGAACTTCTTTCCTCCCAGCATCCTGATGGACAAGGATTGGTTGGCTTGGCACCTGCAATAATGGGCACCACAATTTTTATATTGTCGATACCAAGGGACCTCAAAAAAGGATGTCTCAAAACTGTGGGAATGAATGTCTTTTGAAAACAAGTTGGGAAATCATGATTTTGAATCATGCCCTCTAGTACATGGTGGTTTGAAACCGGTGTCTAAAAATGGTGGCCCACAAATTCCCCACAACAATGCTGGCAACAGCAAGTGGTTCCTGAATAAATGATGGCCTGCATA